AATAGCCCGTAAGTGGTGGCCCTTTTGAGCCATTACCAGTATCAAGAGCGGATACTGGAGATCTGTGGAGGCGCGACTGCACCCTGCGTGACGGGAGATGTCTCCCGTGTGAGTCAATCAAGACTGATTGACTTATGAAGAATAAGCCAACCAAGAGGTGGCACGGGCATGAATAACTCATAAAATGACTATCAGTGATTTAATGGCTTATATTACAAGCTTCTCCTGAGTTGCGAAGCCGACCAACATTTAGCAAGTTGCAGCTCGACTAGCCTGATTGATCCTGCACTGAAACTTCTGAGAAATTGAAGCTATTATATTACTCATAATATAATTGCTACAGCTCTATTTCCAGACCGTAATTAACCTAAGCCTTCATTAAACCAAAACTGCTTCAATTTATATATATTTTTTCAAGTTCTATCTTGCGTTGATATGTATTAAATCTTACACCTCCCTTGTAACACCCTTCCATCCACTTGAGCACTTCACTCACTCATTACTCTTCGTCTTTCACAATAACATTACTAAAGATTTTCCATGTCTCTTTATAAGAAAAATTTGTAAATCCTGAGATATTGTCTTTGGCATGCTTCTCTGTGCGCGCTCTCGTTGACTCACATCTATTATATAGTTATAGATACCTATAATTATTAGTAGCTAGGTAACTATTCAACCATCTACACTCTTTGTGAAAGTGTTCCATCCCAGCACCATAGCATCATATGACCTGGTGTACAGTGTCCCCGTCCACCACCACCACCACACTCCAGCTGTTATCCACAGCAACACCCACATAAGACCTGGGGCCAGATTCACGAAAACACTTACGCAAGCACTTACGAACCTGTACATCTTTCCTCAATCTTTGGCGGCTTTGTTTACGATTATTAAACAGTTAATGAGCTCCGAAGCACCAGGAGGCTGTTTATAACAACAACAACAGTTGATTGGCAAGTTTTCATGCTTGTAAACTGTTTAATAAATGTAACCAAAGCCGTCAAAGATTGGGGAAAGATGTACACGTTCGTAAGTGCTTGCGTAAGTGCTTTCGTCAATCTGGCCCCTGGTGTACAGTGCTACATAAAACTCAGTGTTCATTGCTTATCATGAATAGCTTCGGTCAATATTGTCATTACGTTCAACTTAATTCACTCCTTCTTATAAACATCTCATAATGATCAATGTGTTTAATCATACCGTGTGTGTTGTCAAAACTCGCCCCCCCCAAACCAATTCCTCACAGTCACTCACTGTGCTCGCCATCTACAAAGTATTTATCTTGTCCTTTAAGTCAAATACACTTGACAACAGACACTACACAAGTTACCATCAACCATTCGTTCCCGCTTTGGTCGTCACAACGTACGTAGGCACTAACAGTTCTTGAGGTTATCTTGAGATGATTTCGGGGTTTCAGTGTCCCCGCGGCCCGGTCCTCGACCAGGCCTCCACCTCCAGGAAGCAGCCCGTGACAGCTGACTAACACCCAGGTACCTATTTACTGCTAGGTAACAGGGGCATTGAGGGTGAAAGAAACTTTGCCCATTTGTTTCTGCCTCGTGCGGGAATCGAACCCGCGCCACAGAATTACGAGTCCTGCGCGCTATCCACCAGGCTACGAGGCCCCAGTAGCCACATTTGCTCTTTATAATTTGTATAACACAAAAACACTTTGAATTGGATAAATAAAGTTATTCTTTACCTAATACTGCGCTCTCATCATCAAAACGTTTTCGTCTTCCTTATATTACTTCTTTAAGCTGAACAAATCCACAAGGGCCGTGACGAGGATTCGAACCTGCGTCCGGGAGCATCCCAGACACTGCCTTAATCGACTGAACTACGACAGGGTTAAAAGAGTTGAAACCGAAGTTCTACTGAACTTACTGGATCCCGTAGCCTCTCCAAGGCACAAACCAGGATTTTACACAACTCCCCCATGCACTCGAGCTATGTCAATAGGAGCCTTAATCGACTGTCGTAGCTCCAACCCGTTCTCGCAAATTCGTAAAGTCAATATTGACTTATTAACTACGTGCATAGGTGATATACTAAACATAATAGATACCCTTAAAAAGATTCATAGAAAACACCGACCTTACCTAACCTTGTTAGTATCTTAAGATAAGCATCTTATTGCTTCGTAATTACAATTATTACTTAACCTATACCTATTATCGGTTAGGTAATAATTGTAATTACGAAGCAATAAGATGCTTATCTTAACATACTAAGTAGGTTAGGTAAGGTTGGTGTTTTCTATGAATCTTTTTAAGGGTATCTATTATGTTAAGTATGTCACCTATGCACATATTTAATAAGTCAATATTGACTTATTAAATTTGCGAGAACGGGTTGCGTAGCTCAGTCGATTAAGGCAGTGTCTGGGATGATCCCGGACGCAGGTTCGAATCCTCGTCACGGCCCTTGTGGATTTGTTCATTTGATACATCACGTTAGTGTGATTTCTGTGTGTAACTTGTTTAAGTTCCTTTCTGTCCTGTTCTTTCAACATTTATGTCATTCAAGTTTTCATTATCACTTTATTCCTTTCATCGCTGTCTAGCGTAAACTTAGCAAATATATCCTCCATATACATACTTCCAACTTTCCTTGTTGCTGATTTATGCCTTCCGTAGCCTACTCAGCCACGCACCTCAACCCGTTCTCGCAAATTTAATAAGTCAATATTGACTTATTAAATATGTGCATAGGTGACATACTTAACATAATAGATACCCTTAAAAAGATTCATAGAAAACACCGACCTTACCTAACCTTGTTAGTATCTTAAGATAAGCATCTTATTGCTTCGTAATTACAATTATTACCTAACCTATAATAGGTATAGGTTAAGTAATAATTGTAATTACGAAGCAATAAGATGCTTATCTTAAGATACTAACAAGGTTAGGTAAGGTCGGTGTTTTCTATGAATCTTTTTAGGGGTATCTATTATGTTTAGTATATCACCTATGCACGTAGTTAATAAGTCAATATTGACTTTACGAATTTGCGAGAACGGGTTGCGCACCTATATGGGATCAGGGCAGGTGCGCACTCCTGAGTCCGCACTCCTGAGATAGAGTCCGCAATCAAGTCCTCCAACGCCCGTTATGCAGGGAATGAGTGGATCGGTGTTCAGCATAAACCAGTAATTAGAACACTAAGATATTACCATCCCGGACAGTATTCAGCGCCTTAACTTAAATCCTTGAATATGTTAAATATCAAGTCACTGTACGCATGCTCAAGTGAACACAGCATCTGTGAAACTGTGAACTATCAATACTAGTCCTGACCTTTAGTTCTTCTTAGAGGACTGTAACAGAGCCTATGGGCACCTCACGAGAATAAAATATCCATTTGATATTCCAAGAGTGGTACTTATCCAAAGCTGAGATATCCTGTAAATTAAGGTTCCTAAAGTGTCAAAGACATTCCTAATGAGAAAGACAAAAAAATATATATATTTTCTCAATTAGCTACGTTTAATAAACTAAAAAATATCTTATTAGCATTTTGTAAGCAGGTTTACTCACATTTCCTCATGCTACAAGTCATCTGTGTTTTGCTATCATTCTTTGCATTAAATATTCGGACGGTGGCAACATACTGAGTTTTCCTAACATTGCATAAAAATTGCAAATCATTTGCTAAATACATTTAAAGATTAAATTAACTTACTTATACTTTACTTTATAGTGTTATCCCATTCAAACTTTAAATAAATCTCGAGGCAATGATTAGGTTGCGCACGAAACACTGAGTATTTGTGACATTATGTAAACTACAGTGTTTACCTTGGACTACAGTGTTTACCTTGGACTACAGTGTTTACCTTGGACTACAGTGTTTACCCTGGACTACAGTGTTTACCTTGGACTACAGTGTTTACCTTGGACTACAGTGTTTACCTTGGACTACAGTCTTTACCCTGGACTACAGTGTTTACCTTGGACTACAGTGTTTACCCTGGACTACAGTGTTTACCTTGGACTACAGTGTTAACCCTGGACTACAGTGTTTACCTTGGACTACAATGTTGTTCTTGAACTACAATGTTTACCCTGGACTACAGTGTTTACCTTGAACTACAATGTTTACCTTAGACTACAGTGTTTACCTTGAACTACAATGTTTACCTTGGACTACAATGTTTACCTTGGACTACAGTGTTTACCTTGAACTACAATGTTTACCTTGGACTACAGTGTTTACCTTGAACTACAATGTTTACCCTGGACTACAATGTTTACCTTGGACTACAGTGTTTACCTTGAACTACAATGTTTACCCTGGACTACAGTGTTTACCTTGGACTACAGTGTTTACCTTGAACTACAATGTTTACCTTGGACTACAGTGTTTACCTTGGACTACAGTGTTTACCTTGAACTACAATGTTTACCTTGGACTACAGTGTTTACCTTGGACTACAATGTTTACCCTGGACTACAGTGTTTACCTTGGACTACAGTGTTTACCTTGAACTACAATGTTTACCTTGGACTACAGTGTTTACCTTGAACTACAATGTTTACCCTGGACTACAGTGTTTACCTTGGACTACAGTGTTTACCTTGAACTACAATGTTTACCTTGGACTACAGTGTTTACCTTGGACTACAATGTTTACCCTGGACTACATTGTTTACCTTGGACTACAGTGTTTACCTTGGACTACAATGTTTACCTTGGACTACAGTGTTTACCTTGAACTACAATGTTTACCCTGGACTACAGTGTTTACCTTGGACTACAGTGTTTACCTTGGACTACAATGTTTACCTTGGACTACAGTGTTTACCTTGAACTACAATGTTTACCCTGGACTACTCTAATGAAACTGCTATTAATGTAACCATTTTTATATACATATTAATTATTATCAATATTATTATATTATCATTCCACTTAAACTTCACCATTTGGCAAAAAGTTATATTCGTACAATTGTGAAAGAAGTCAAAAGTGGTCAGTGTTGAGAGGCTCACCTGCCCAGGTTGAACTTGTCAATGCTGAGCTGCACCAGGTCCCCGTAAGCGTCGCCTGAGGCTATAAAGGTCAGCTGACAGAAGTGAGGTAGTGTGCTTCTGGGAGGACGCGGGATCTGTAGGGAGTAGGTCGCGCCCACTCTCCCATAGTAGGTCCTGTTGCAGGCTGTTGGTAGGGGGGAGAAGATGGTCGTTAAGATACCTGGGCAAGATGAAGTTATTGCAGGCGTTGAGTATAGGGTTCAGGTGAGGTTATTGCACACTATTGATGGATTGGGATTTGTTTTCAAGTTGTGTTACATTTATTGTTAATGTTATTGTTGGTATTACATAAGAACATAAGAACAAAGGCAACTGCAGAAGGCCTATTGGCCCATACGAGGCAGCTCCTATTTTGACCAGACCACACACTAGAAATTGAAGGGACGACGACGTTTCGGTCCGTCCTGGACCATTCTCAAGTCGATTGTGCAGCTCCTATTTATAAGCACCCAATCCCACTCATATACATGTCCAACCCATGCTTGAAACAATCGAGGGACCCCACCTCCACAATGTTACGCGGCAATTGGTTCCACCCAACTAATTATGTTGGGTGATATATAACAAATTACAATGACGTAAAATATCAACGAGAAAATCGTTTTGGGACAATGAGGTGACTTGAACCGGCGTTCTGGTGATTCCCAGTCACTTGTCTTAACCCACTCGGCCACGATTGGACCAAAGCCTTTATGGGTATAAGCGCCATGACCCGCAGGCCAGAGTATACGTGAGCCTATCGTAACCTCCTGGCTGGACACCGGTTCGGAGGTCCAGAACCGCCTAGTGGATTCAGTAGAGTTGCGGGTTGTTTAGGCTTTGGGGTTATGGAGGCTAAGTGGGTTAAACGAGGTTATCTTGAGGGTTATCTTGAGATGATTTCGGGGCTTTTTCTAGTGTCCCCGCGGCCCGGTCCTCGACCAGGCCTCCACCCCCAGGAAGCAGCCCGTGACAGCTGACTAACTCCCAGGTACCTAGCAACCTGTCCTCTTAAGAAGAACGTCGCTTTTGGCCGTTTGCCTGTATGGCCGAATATGGACGTAATTTGAAAATATAAAAAAAAATGAATATAAATTTGGGATTTTTTTTTCAACAACAGTAAGTTAAGGGTCCTCTGATAGGTTAGGTGGGTAGGAAATTCTCATAAAGTTTCAAAATGGTATGAAAAACGTTAATGGAAAGAATCCTTTTCTAAGCTGGCCGAGTAAGCCGGACGACTCAAACAGAAAACGGAACAGTACGTCACTTTTGTGAGTCGATTTCATTTCAAATTACGTCCAAATTTGGCCATAGTGCGCATACGAGCGAAAAGTGACGTTATTTTTAAGAGGACGGGTTGAAACCGTGTAGGCAGGTACTCGTCCCACGAACACCAGAGTGATCACAAACATTGCTCCAGGGGAGGTAATAGGGAAGCCGGTGGCTGAGCGGACAGAACACTAGACGCGTGATCCTGTGGTCCCGGGTTCGATCCTGGGCGCCGGCGACAGACAATGGGCAGAGTTTCTTTCACCCTGAAGCTCCTATTACCTAGCAGTAAATAGGTACCTGGAAGTTAGTTAGCTGTCACGGGTTGCTTCCTAGTGGCGGAGGCCTGGTCGAGGACCGGGCCGCGGGGACGCTAAGCCCTGAAATCATCTCAAGATGACTCGAGATAGAGGGACATGGCTCGTGCTTCACACAACTTTAAGAGAACATATTAGCAGTAGTAGTATTAGTATAACAATTACCTGTGACTCGTTATAGTCATATTAGTGACGCGAGACTGTACGTTGCCTTTGGACAAGAAAGAACAGCGTAAACTAAACTAATTGAGAAGAAGTAGAGACCACTTCTCCCTTCACCCCCACAGTCAACACCTGTGCTCCCCTTCACCCCCACAGTCAACACCTGTGCTCCACTTCACCCCCACAGTCAACACCTGTGCTCCACTTCACCCCCACATTCAACACCTGTGCTCCACTTCACCCCCACAGTCAACACCTGTGCTCCACTTCACCCCCCACAGTCAACACCTGTGTTCCCCTTCACCCCCACAGTCAACACCTGTGCTCCCCTTCACCCCCACAGTCAACACCTGTGTTCCCCTTCACCCCCACATTCAACACCTGTGCTCCCATTCACCCCCACAGTCAACACCTGTGCTCCCATTCACCCCCACAGTCAACACCTGTGCTCCCCTTCACCCCCCACAGTCAACACCTGTGCTCCCCTTCACCCCCCACAGTCAACACCTGTGTTCCCCCTTCACCCACACAGTCAACACCTGTGCTCCCCTTCACCCCCACAGTCAACACCTGTGTTCCCCTTCACCCCCACAGTCAACACCTGTGCTCCCCTTCACCCCCCACAGTCAACACCTGTGTTCCCCTTCACCCCCACAGTCAACACCTGTGCTCCCCTTCACCCCCACAGTCAACACCTGTGTTCCCCTTCACCCCCACATTCAACACCTGTGCTCCCATTCACCCCCACAGTCAACACCTGTGCTCCCATTCACCCCCACAGTCAACACCTGTGCTCCCATTCACCCCCACAGTCAACACCTGTGCTCCCCCTTCACCCCCACAGTCAACACCTGTGTTCCCCTTCACCACCACAGTCAACACCTGTGCTCTCCCTTCACCACCACAGTCAACACCTGTGCTCCCCTTCACCCCCACAGTCAACACCTGTGCTCCCATTCACCCCCACAGTCAACACCTGTGCTCCCATTCACCCCCACAGTCAACACCTGTGCTCCCCCTTCACCCCCACAGTCAACACCTGTGTTCCCCTTCACCACCACAGTCAACACCTGTGCTCTCCCTTCACCACCACAGTCAACACCTGTGCTCCCCTTCACCCCCACAGTCAACACCTGTGCTCCCATTCACCCCCACAGTCAACACCTGTGCTCCCCCTTCACCCCCACAGTCAACACCTGTGTTCCCCTTCACCACCACAGTCAACACCTGTGCTCTCCCTTCACCACCACAGTCAACACCTGTGCTCCCCTTCACCCCCACAGTCAACACCTGTGCTCCCATTCACCCCCACTGTCAACACCTGTGCTCCCCTTCACCACCACAGTCAACACCTGTGCTCTCCCTTCACCACCACAGTCAACACCTGTGCTCCCCTTCACCCCCCAGTCAACACCTGTGCTCACCTTCACCACCACAGTCAACACCTGTGCTCCCCCTTTACCCCCACAGTCAACACCTGTGTTCCCCTTCACTGCCACAGTCAACACCTGTGCTCTCCCTTCACCCCCACAGTCAGCACCTGTGCTCCCCTTCACCCCCCACAGTCAACACCTGTGCTCCCCTTCACCCCCACAGTCAAAACCTGTGTTCCCCTTCACCCCCACAGTCAACACCTGTGTTCCCACTTCACCCCACAGTCAACACCTGTGTTCCCCTTCACCCCCACAGTCAACACCTGTGCTCCCCTTCACCACCACAGTCAACACCTGTGCTCTCCCTTCACCCCCACAGTCAACACCTGTGTTCCCCTTCACCACCACAGTCAACACCTGTGCTCTCCCTTCACCCCCACAGTCAACACCTGTGTTCCCCTTCACCACCACAGTCAACCCTGTGCTCTCCCTTCACCCCCACAGTCAACACCTGTGTTCCCCTTCACCCCCACAGTCAACACCTGTGTTCCCCTTCACCCCCACAGTCAACACCTGTGTTCCCCTTCACCCCCACAGTCAACACCTGTGTTCCCCTTCACCCCCACAGTCAACACCTGTGTTCCCACTTCACCCCACTGTCAACACCTGTGTTCCCCTTCACCCCCACAGTCAACACCTGTGCTCCCCTTCACCACCACAGTCAACACCTGTGCTCTCCCTTCACCCCCACAGTCAACACCTGTGTTCCCCTTCACCACCACAGTCAACACCTGTGCTCTCCCTTCACCCCCACAGTCAACACCTGTGTTCCCCTTCACCACCACAGTCAACCCTGTGCTCTCCCTTCACCCCCACAGTCAACACCTGTGTTCCCCTTCACCCCCACAGTCAACACCTGTGTTCCCCTTCACCCCCACAGTCAACACCTGTGTTCCCCTTCACCCCACAGTCAACACCTGTGTTCCCCTTCACCCCCACAGTCAACACCTGTGCTCCCCTTCACAACCACAGTCAACACCTGTGCTCCCCTTTACCCCCACAGTCAACACCTGTGCTTCCCTTCACCCCCACAGTCAACACCTGTGGTCCCCTTCACCCCCACAGTCAACACCTGTGTTCCCCTTCACCCCCACAGTCAACACCTGTGTTCCCCTTCACCCCCACAGTCAACACCTGTGTTCCCCTTCACCACCACAGTCAACACCTGTGCTCTCCCTTCACCCCCACAGTCAACACCTGTGTTCCCACTTCACCCCCACAGTCAACACCTGTGCTCCCCTTCTCCCCCCACAGTCAACACCTGTGTTCCCACTTCACCCCCACAGTCAACACCTGTGTTCCCACTTCACCCCCACAGTCAACACCTGTGCTCCCCCTTCACCCCCCACAGTCAACACCTGGGCTCCCCTTCACCCCTACAGCCAACACCTGTGCTCCACTTCACCCCCACAGTCAATACCTGTGTTCCCACTTCACCCCCACAGTCAACACCTGTGCCCCCCCTTCACCCCCACAGTCAACACCTGTGCTCTCCCTTCACCCCCACAGTCAACACCTGTGTTCCCACTTCACCCCCACAGTCAACACCTGTGCTCCCCTTCACCCCCCACAGTCAACACCTGTGTTCCCACTTCACCCCCACAGTCAACACCTGTGTTCCCCTTCACCCCCACAGTCAACACCTGTGTTCCCACTTCACCCCCACAGTCAACACCTGTGCTCCCCCTTCACCCCCCACAGTCAACACCTGTGCTCCCCTTCACCCCTACAGTCAACACCTGTGCTCCACTTCACCCCCACAGTCAACACCTGTGCTCCCCCTTCACCCCCACAGTCAACACCTGTGCTCCCCCTTCACCCCCACAGTCAACACCTGTGCTCCCCTTTACCCCAAGTGCTGACAGTAACCACAATGGCTTGTACAGAACCATCAACTAATAGGCCTTGAAGGCCTTGAATCAAGTTTAAATCGACTACTGACTACTATAAAACCTGATGTAGCA